AATAATATCCTGGAAGGGAAGCTCATTTCGTGTATTAGGTACGCTTGGGACCAAAGCTGGGGACCGAGCTACAGGAAGTCGTTTGCAATTTGCCTCGCTGCAGCGGCTCTCAGCATTGTGATGTCATTCGTATTCCGTTATCATCTGGCTGGCTTAAATGCCAAAGCCGAAAAAGAAGAAAGAGATAGAGGCCAGACAGAGCCTGGATTTAGGTATATGTTATGAATATGTACAAGGTTTATTGCCTACGATTTCGACGAATTTCTGTAGATTCTACGGAGCATGTACATTCTGGTACTCTTAGAGATGTTTCCTAGAAGTCCCAGTGCTTTATTATAACCGTGTACGCTGTTGCACAGTCTCCAGGACGTAGTAGCCCTTGATTGCGTTGAATTTACTTCGGTCTACCGTAGGAAGACGTCCCGAGTGCTTATGGGAGAGGATCAGACTACTCCCGAGTGCCGCCTTCGTGAGGCGTCGTCGTGTAGCTACCGCCAGCTATACAGTCACTCAGGCAGCAGCAGGACGTAATTTAGTTTCAAATACTCTTTCAGTACAGAAAATTCCCCCGGGCGCACTTGTTCAACAGCATTTCGTGGAAGGACCAGGCTATTCCATCCCTGGGTGATAGAAGTTTGTTAAGAGCTTTCAAGGTCCACGGCAGCCACATCAACGGGAGCGCGAGTGCACATACCTTTACTCCCCTGAAATCACAACTTTGTATGCCAGCGGTAGGGTTCTCGGGTTCTGTGTACGAGACGCGTATAAATCTGCTGCAGCCTGCTGTCTACTCCAATTCTAGGGGTAATAGGGGTCACCTTCCCACGACTCCCCCACGTTCATTGGTCGCCTGCCGGAGTTGACATTGATTTCTGTCTCGTATGAATGATGAATTTCTTGGCCCTTCGCTCACCCTTGATTTCCATGCAACTTCATTCTGGCAGACCTGGCAGCGCGCGAGACTTGCATTGACCAGGGCCACTGAGTTTCCCGAGAAATACCCAGTCTCAACTGCTGGGCTACCGCCGCGTACCCTGGTTGCATCCTATTTACATACTGATTTTTGCCTCATCTTTCGGAGGGATTCATTTTCTCCATTCGCAGATTTAGAAGAGATCCGGATCGTTGTACGGTCATGTATCAAGAAGAGTTTCGTGCGTCGACTCTTATTCTCAACAAAGCAACTGACTAACCGTGGGTGTCTGGATATTCAGGTTCCTCGGGGGCTTCCGAAAAGAACTTCAATGGTGAAGGGATCTGCGAGTAATCTAGTAAGTAAATCACTCTATCTACGGCAGGGACCACCCCTCCTCGTACGTACTCGAAGGCATGTCGAGAACGTTGTGACAGTTCGAACAACTTAGCTATGAAGCGCACAAGGTAGTGGGAACGCGCATAAATCAATCTCCTCACCTTGCTTTGACCCTCTCATTCCTGTCTAGGCCCCATTCTCCCACAATGAGATAACCCTCCGAAACGGTTATATACCAATTCGCCACGCAAATCTTGATTCGTTCACTACTGTTCCATCCTCTGGATTGCCCCCCATGGCCGAGCTCAAATCCCCCGACGATACCAGCTCTCATTTAGTCAAGTATGAGCAAGGGCTCGACGTCGAAGGCCAGGGAGCAAGGCGGGTTTTGGAGAAAAAGCTTCTACTCAAGGTCGACTTACGAATGTCCTACCTTATACTCATCTACATCGTGAATATAGTGCGTTACACCAATTGTCTGAATAATCTGCAACCAACATTGCCTGCAGGTCGATCGAAACAATACTCCGTTGGTGCACAATGATTACCGTATTCTATGCTGAATCGCTAACTTGAGCTGGAAGTGCGGCGCGATTGCGTGGACTAGAACGCGATCTCCACCTCCATGGCCCTGAATACTCAACCGTCCTTTCGATCCTCTTCGTTGGATACATATCAATGCAAATACCGTCGTAAGCATTTCGGGAGCTCTAGTGATTTCCTTGGCTGATTTCGCTCAAGGAATATGTTCATGAATTATGTCGGAAAGCCATCAATATACCTCCCATCTTGCGCTGTGCTATGGGGGGTTATATCCATGTTGAGTGGTCAATATTTTCATTTTCCTGCGAGATCCATCTAAGATATTTAATCAGGAGTCACAAAGAAGTAGGTTCACCTGTACCGACAGTCTGCGATGATCATCTTATCGCTTGTAGCTTTGTTGGTGCACTCTTGTGCAGGTTCTTCATAGGGTAATCACGCACCTTTCGTCATTCGTACTTACTAACGTCGTATAGATTCGTCGAAGCCAGCTTCGTACCTGGCGCTCTGTTCTTACTCTCGAAGTGGTACAAACGAGGTAAATGATTCGATGACATCGAGCCTCGCAGCTTAATGAACGCCTCTCAGATGAGCTGGGCGTTCGAGTTGCTATCTTATTTTGCGCGACGTATGCCAGCAACGCATTTGGCGGTCAGTATGCATCCCATGAGTGGCGGAACGCGTACTAAATCACCTTCTACAGCCCTCATTGCGGCCAGTATCCTTGACACGATGGAGGGAACGCTAGGACAGGCCGCTTGGAGGTAAGCCCCGCGTCCTGTCACTGACGAGTCCTTTAAAGAAGTCAAATAGGTGGCTTTGCTTTATCGAAGGCGCGATAACCATTGTCATAGCTTTACTAGGTGCGTTGTTGAAGGGCTCTTCCTGCTGTGATGTACCAATTGTAGGGCACAGGGTTCTTCATCCTTCCTGACTTCCCTGGTACCTCTGGTAGATGGCTATCCGCCGAAGAGAGAGCTTTGGCAACGGAGCGACTGGCCGAAGAAGATGGGACAGGACCAGCTAGTCATATAGAAGGGCTCAAGATTGCCTTGAAGGATTGGAAGGTCTGGTACCTAGCGGTGCTGATGGCTACAGTTCAGCTTTCTCTGAGCTTCATTGTCTTCTTCCCCACCTTGACGGCAACACTTGGTTACGGTTTGACGACTACTCTCCTGTTATGCGCTCCGCCCTGGGTCATCACGACCATTTTCGCCTTTACTCTGACAAGGTCGGTAGTTCCGTTCCGTGTATATACATGGCTGACCTCTCGCACCAGGCATTCCGACAGCAGATCAGAACGTTGCTGGCACAGTATTTTCCCCATGTTAATCGGAATGATTGGATCCGTGATAGCCATGTCGACAATGAACACCCCAGCCAGATATGTATCTCTGTACGTCACGCCAATTCAAAGGTGCCTGTTCAAGTGACTCATCGTCTGCCTAGTTTCTTGATGGCCCAATCTCCCGTAGGCCCGGTGATTACTATGGCGTGGTCGATGACGTCGCTGCAGCCCGCTAATAAACGAGCGGTAGCTATAGCCATCATCAACGCAACGGGGCAGTTAGGTTTAGTGGCTGGTCCGTGAGTGGTGTCTCTTTCATACCGCCGCATTATCACCGCTGACTAGAAATGGCTAACTCGAAAAGTTATGCATGGGACAGAAAATGGGGCCCAACGTACCGGAAGTCCTTTGCCATCTGTCTAGCTGCTAGCGGCCTCAGTATTGTCATGTCCCTTTTCTTTCGATACCACCTCGCCACGCTAAACCTAAAAGCTCAGAAAGAGGAGGACGAACGGGGGCAAACAGTACCGGGTTTCCGATACCACTTGTAATGTAATATATTCCTTAGACCTCTTGCTCTGTTTTGTTGTTTCATTATCGTATAGAATCATTGCATGTATGTTTAGCATATTCCAGTTCTCTAGCAGTACCCCTGTCCAATCAAAACGTGACGAACTATGTCCCTCAATTCGCTCAGCGCGCGCCGTTTCAGACGCAACAATTCAGATGGATATTCTGCTTCCCGTTCCTGTGTTTTCGTCTGGATTCACCACTTTTCCATCTCTCGGTACTGAAATCCTGGCTGTGGTCGGCCTCACTGACGAGTGCTTGGGCGTGCATAAGATCACACGCAGGACGACCCACCAAGTAGTTGAACCGCCAAAGGAGTCGCAGCGCGACATTTCGTGCTCATCGAATGGCCTGCCACCTCCAAACCTCGCATGGGAGGCGAAATACCCTAAAGGAAGCATTAATCCATCGGCTCCGATACCTGGCGGATTCGGGTTCTATCTCTCGGGCCCAAGCGATTTCCTCGAATCCCTACGCTGTGGGGCACAAGAGGTACTTTTCAGCTATCGCATGATGCTAAGCGACGATTGGGATTGGATGAAGGGGGGGAAGTTACCTGGTATATGTAAGTCCCTTGGTCTACCTCCCGATGTACTCATTTCCTTTAGATGGAGGCGTGGGCGATCAAGCGTACGGTTGCACCGGCGGGCGTAAAGAAAATCGATGCAATTGTTTTGATCTTCGACCGATGTGGAGGCGAGTTTTTATTTCATTGGATATACGATAGCGCCTGACCGCGAAGCACTATTCAGAGCACAAGCGATTGGAGAACTATACACCTATCTCCCTTTGACGCCCAATAACGAAGCGCAACTAGCTGCCGTGCCCCCGTACTCGCGGCAAAATGCAGATTACGGGTTCTCTGTCGGAAGGGGCTCGTTCTGTTTAGATGGGGCCGTAGAGCAATGGATCGCACTGGCATTCCGTGTCAAGCTCAACGATGTCGGGTTAGAGAATGGTAAGCACTCCGCTACCCTGACAAAGAATCGCGAATCACCGCAGTTCATCTACGAAGGCGAGATACAGTTCTGGGTAAACGGGGTCTCCGCCATTTCTGTGACGGGGCTTACGCTTCGTACTCGCGCTGACTCCGTCATACAAGGCATGCACTTCCAAACGTTCTTTGGAGGTGGGCATGGCACGTTCTCTTTCTTGTTTGTTGGGCTGAGGCATTGTTGAATAGGGCACACGCCTGATTGGGCCTCGCCCAAAGACCAATGTGGGTGGTTCGCTGACATCACAGGCGCTATCGTTCGATAGTTGTTTTGTGGGCAACGAGGTTCGGATATACTTTCTTTCAATAATCTCCCGTCCATGATAGTCGCACCAGTGTCGCTCAGAACATATGGCCGCCTGGCGAAATGGCATCGCGTCTGACTACGATTCACGCGTTATCAGGAGATTGCAGGTTCGACCCCTGCGGTGGTCATTTGTTTTGGTTAGTTTTTGTCATTGTTTCCATATACAAAAACTCCCATATCCAGCCACTGCATCACCAAGCTGATTTTTTTTTATTTGCGCAGAGGTCCTTGAGAAGCGGAGTACTCATATAACTTGATAGCGGACTAAATTGCCCAACGCCGTGTCCTTAGCAAGGCTTCTCTGCGATTCGCGCAATATATTATATTTTCTGAAGGATCGAAGAAATTACCAAATTTGGTATGTTTGGTGACGATTGTGGTTTTGACGACCCTGCAACCCCTGTCTCCCTATCTTCCTTCATTGCTGGCCTCTCTTCTCTGTCTCCCTGCCACTCTATCCTTTCCTCTCCCACTCATAGAGACATTGTACATTTCCGCAGGAACTTTGGCTCCACCAGACAAAGCCACACCTAGCATGACCACTCTCTCCACGTCCACTCTCTCCACGTCGAGGCATTTGGCGTTATCCCGGAAATTCCTGCACCTCCTCACGTCAGGCGATTTATGGGAGAAATGGTCTCAGCACAGCTCCAGCGACAACACTAATCCCAATGCAATATTGGATCGCTACCTATATCTGGCGTACAATATGAGAGCTCGCACCCCCGACGAACAAGAGCAAATGGCGTGGAAGCTCCTGTTACAACAGTCAATCCGACAGTGCATCTTCGGCGAGGAAAATCGGGCGCACACTGTATGGCTTAACGACTCTACTGAAGACGTGGACAACCAAGTCTTTTGCTTCCGCCACGTTGTCAATGGCCGTATCGGGTTCATCCTATGGACCTTTGACGAGCCCGGAAGATCTCGTCGTGCTCTCAGAGATCTCTATGTCGCCCAAAATCAAAGCAAATTTATACCGATCAAAGATGTTCTCGAGCACGTCGAGGTATCATATGTCAAAGTTGGACGCCTCCTCCACTTTCCGTTCGTGGTAAGTATTAGGGAAAATTTTATCTTGAATGGCCTGCTTACTATATTGTGGTAGCTCGGCTTGGTATTTCGGACGGATAGGAGGAGCGATAGGACCCGTACTTTATGTCAAAGGGCCGTCAAAGATGTCGGTCTACATACCCATACCGCTAATGAGGACGAACACGAATCCGAGCAAGAATGGGCCCCCGTCGTCCTGTTAACAGATTCCCAGCGACGAAAAGTGGTGATGGATAATATTCCTGGTAGCAAGGGACAAGACGCCGAATATTATGAATCCGATACTACTCCCGTCTCTGAACACGAACAATATTTCAGTTCTGGCGACGATACGCTAGCCGCCGGGAGCGGATTGGGCAGTTCGACCCATAGCTTCTTCAGCGGAAAACCCCATGCCTCTGGAACAGTCCATGCCACCGAGGAAGAGAACGTAGAGAACAAATACGAAATTCACGACGGCGACGATGTCGATGTCGATGACGATGACGACTTTGGCGTTCCTGCCAGTGGGGATGCGTATCACGACAACGATAACCGTGAAAATGACGAGATCAACGAGGATATTGAAAACACCAACAAGAATGAAGGTTGGCAAAATGGCGAAGTCGAAGAGTACGTGGAGATGATCGCAGGGGCTGATGAATTTGGGCGACGAAGTGGGCCACGCTTTGGCCGCGCAAACCACGCGAACAGGCGTCCATTGCCGCCCATACCTCCCGTGGCTCTTAAGCGACCACCCTCCAAGAAGGTGCTCCGCGCCTTGCGCACCGTGTTTGGCATCAGCCAGTAGCTTGACATCTCCCAGTGGTACGCGTAGGCAACGGATAACCTCGAAAACGTCGAAGCCCAAGTGACTGGTGCACTTGGAAGCAGAATGTCGGATCGGCTTGTAGTTGGGATATTTTCCCCTGGATATTGTTAACGGTTAATGTAATGGGTTGTAAGGATATGGTGTTTGCTTACCAGCTTAATGTGTACTAATTATCGGCAGCCAATGTACCACTAGAATCAAATTCCTAGTGAGCTGTAGCCTGTGGCTGAACGACTCGTTGACGCCGGACAGTCACTGGTAATCGAACTTGAAGGCTACTTTTTTTCTCATCAGCGCTTCCTATCAGTCCTTCGTATTCCCCGAATTTTTCACCCATTGTCTCATCCCCTGCTAGGATATTTTCGGCATATGATATTCCAATGCCTGTATACGCCGCTTTCAAGCCAGACAAGGCCAGATTATCAAGTCGCAGTGCAATGTGACGTGACGTTTGTGACGCTACGAAGATAGTGGAACGAACCAGTGAACATCGCCAAGACAGTTCCGTTATCGCTCCGAAATTGAAGAAATTCGGCTGTTCTCAGTTGGTGCTTCAGCGGGTGGAAGCAGCCCAAAGGAGCCACAACTTCACTTCGCCCGCCATACACGTGAAGCCCGCAGTGCACAGCATCAGCGTTCACCAACTTGGCTCCGAACCCTGACCGAACCTGTGTTTCGAATATTCGCATGGAACTAGGAGTTCAGTTTCCCATGGATTCGTATCCGCATACCATCATATAACCCCCTTGCTTGTAACGTTCGGGATGCTAAGCTTGTCTCTCGCTTTTTAGGCCGACAGTACTCATCCGTCGATGCCTGCTCTCTACGACCATGCACCCATTTCTCCGCGAAACGACGAAAACACTTCCCGAGGCATGGCTCTCGGGTCCATTCTCGGCATCGCACTCAGTGTTGTCGTGATTTTAGGTCTATTGACTGTGGTATACATGGCTGTCAATAGATTCTATCGGCGCAAAACCAAAGCGGCTCGACGCGCTCAAGAAGAAGGAGCTCTCATGAGTTTCGCGCGTGTTCTAGATCATCCGCGTAGTGACCAAGATCGTTCAGCGTACTCGTATCACCACATCGGACGCGGCAAGCACAACGCTCGACAGTCTGGGACTTTCCCGTTATTGGACAAGGACATACAAGGATCATCTTCTGATGACAATCCAAAGGTGGCACATAATAGCGTCGAGTCTACGCAGGAACATAAAGGAGAGGTATTCCGTCCATCCAGCTTTGACGCAATCCAGACGGATACAGCGCCCGATCGTATTTTCTTTAGCATGCCTACTCCATTATCTGCTGTTGGGTCGACATTCACGTTGGCAGGTACCCGGGAAGCAATGGGTGCTCTGCCCCCCATCAACACGGCTTCGCCCCTTTCGACAGCCCCCCTTTCGGCCGCTACAGCTTCAACGGCGGGGCCTTTCTCAGCGTTTTTAGGACACCCACCGCTCTCTGCGACAACCACATGCTCTGACTCAACCTTCTCTGCCCTTGACCGGTTTCCGCCCCCACCAGTACCTGCCTTGCCAACCTGGTACACTGGTGGCGATGACTCAAATAAGCGCAAACAAGAGGAGAGGGACGAGGAGGAGGAGGGCCAACTGGGACGAACCGACACAGTGGTTGTTGGGCAAATGCTGAAAATGCGGGCCAAGCGAGCCAGGGCTAGCCTTTCTAGAGGCTATACGAATATTTCGGTAATCGAGCGCGCGGACAGTATCAAAAGCGTTCATAGCCCCCTCCATTCGACGCCCACAAAACGCTCTCGTTCCAAGCGTCGCCTTACGTCGTTGAAAATCCCCCATTTCTTCGCTCCTTCTAGCATCCACACTATATCTCCGACGAGTTTGAAAGATGTAACACCTCTGGGTGATAACCTTCCTTCGCAAACGTCACTCCCCACAATCGCAGGCCCGCGCCCTCTTCGAAAAGGCTCCAAGATGCCCTCTCTACCAATGGAAACACTGACCGAAGACCCTGGTTCCTCTAAATCGACCTCCTCATTCACTGAGTCCTCCGGGCTAGGTTCTATCCCTCTCCTCTCTTCTTCGACCACGGCCCCTGGGTTTACGGCCCTGATGCCCCAACCAGAGTCGAAGTGGCCCGTCACACCCGTCGCCTCTTCGATGCCTGAAGCACAGCCGCCAGACTCTCAGGATATCTCGAATTCACTGGCGTTGTTTAACCCACCAGAGCTGTCATTAATAAATGCCTTCCGCGAGAGCATCCCTCCTTCTGCCACAACTCCCGATCCTCACTGGCCAGGACTGGCATCTGAATCGCTCGATTCACATGGATCACATCCTCCGCCTTCGTTCCGCTTCCCAGCCGTGTTTCCATCTGCCCCACCCTCTAGTGATTCGACTAAATCCACTGCTCCGTTGAGAATCAACCCAGCGAAACGTGGTCGCAGTAGCAATCGATACAGCAGCGACAGTGGCCATACCACGGACACAGAATCTATCGGACATCTGAATGGAGAGACGCATCCCAGCACAGGGGATTCGGCGATGGGCGACAGTAGCAGTCATCTGAAATCGCACGTCTCTTCTCAGCTTACTCCAGTTGCACTTCCGAAGTCGCATTCAAAGTTGCGATCCCGCCCACCTTCCCTCGAGCGGCCTGCTGCCAGAGTCGTGGGCGCTCGGATGCGGGGCGCATCGACGTCTTCGGTTTCATCTGATGGTGCAGGACATCCGGTGCCCGGTCCCAGGGCGCAGGTCCATGATATTGAGCATGTTCGACAAGTTCCGGGCATTGATGCTATGCTGGGGAGGTATCACCGCATTGCAAGTATGCAAGGAGTTGTGGAGTTGGGGCAGTGATGAAAGTGGTTGCATCTATAAATTATTCGTACGCTCTTCTCCACTTTCATCTGATACCAACGTTTCATCTGATATCCGTTTCTCCGTAGCTTTTATTCGGACATGTTGTATTTACCATCGTTATCCAATACTCTGTAGTGTATCCCATGTATCGCGTTTGTGCTAGTTTCATCTCTTCACTCGGACTTTGTTACTCTATGTTTTCTTGGCTGTAACATATAACACAACATCCTGGACCTTGGCCGTTCGCCGTCTTCTCACGATCACCCCAAAGTTCGTTCTTCTTGGTTGTACGCCGAGCAAAGCGGCTTCTACTTGGTACTGTTGTGGTACTGCCACATCCAAACGTGGATGCGAACTAGGATGTAACGATACCTAGGTGTGGCTTCTCGAAGCCAAGGGCGGTCTACGTCGAGCGAATCAAGTG